GCTGGTACTGGGGCCAAACCTGGGTCCTAGGAACCAGATCCTCTGGAAGAGCAGCAAGTGCTCTTAATTGATAAGCTATCTCTCCAGTCTCTCCAAACAGATTTTTATTTCAGGAAGTAGGGCGCTGCTGCAACAATTATCTTAAAACATAGAAGTATCCACTGGCCTGGGTAATGGGTGATGACTGGAAACATTTGGGGATGCATATTAGGGGTCTAAATTGACTTGAGACTGTCATTGGAAATGTGAACCCTAAAGATAATCCAGGGTGGATCTCAGGTAGAAAAGAGGGGTATGCTGCCAGACGTCGGGGAACTAATAAGCTTTGTTCTAAAGTGGCAGAGACCTTGGCTACATCCTGGTCTCCTGTTGGTGTTTGTGTGTCAGTGGACAAAGAGTTGCTCATCCTACTGTTCTGAGAATAAAAGTGTTGCCACACTCTTCCCTCTTAGTGGAACACTGACTCGGCCTTTGTTCCTGAGTTGCTGGGATTAAAGGTGTGCACCACAACGAGCTGATGGAGAATTTTAGATTGTCCACCCTGAGTAGTTGTCTACTGAAGGACTTCCTTCATCTTCATCTTCAAGTCAAATTGACTCTTGCCTAATAGAAGTAAAACAGTACTCATTTCAGTTGAGGCCCTCTGGGTGTTCCAAATTTTCTTGTGGTTTGCGTTGCCACTGGGCAGGATGATAGCACAGCAGTACTTTGATGGTAAGTAACCTGACTGGATTTCTGTTGCTTTATGAACACTGCAACCCATGATGGGCTCTCAGGTATAAAGCGTTACTGTGGAAATTACCAGTGTGGCTTTGAAGTGATGTCAACATAAAAACAACGCCTTGTTTATGGACTACTGCATTTTTCAGTATTCCCACGTGCTGTGTCCATGTCTGTATAACGAGGCAAATGTCTCCTATGCTTTATTTCTTCCTTCTGCTCTTCTCTGGTGGGTGTTCCTCTGGCCCTTGCATTTAGGTATGAGCAATGAGATCCTAGTTTGGTGACACTTCTAATTTGAGATTAGAGAGTCGTTTATCTGCAGGAGGCCGGCCTGCTTTGAACACTCAGTGACTACTGAGTGATGATACTATCAGGGCCCTTGGTTCTCTCCAGGTCTCCCGCCTTTCATTTCCATGTTTGTTTTCCTACAGAAACATCCTCTCAGGTGTTTCCAGCCACAGTTGTGTCTTCCATCAGGACCATTATCTTCCCAGGCTCACAGTTTGCCATGTGCTCTAGCTGCTCGGAGATTTCAGGCTAACTGGAGAAGCTTTTCTGAGCTTTACCCAGAGGGACAACAAAAGAATATTGGGTTTTCCCACAGTAAAGCCTGCTAACGCTTTCAGCTCTAGTC